TTTCTTTTTTTTTTTTTGAGTTTTTCGGTGCGTTTTCTTCGGGAAGCCCAGCTTTTTTAGTTTCCTGGAGGCTTCAAACACTGTACAGCAGTTAATGCTTTCAACTCTGGGTTGGGGGAGGGAGCAGCTAGCCCCCTTCCCCCATGCGGACCTTTCTCCGGAACCGAAGCAGGACTAGCTTACACCGGCGTGAAAGCAGCAACATTGACAATGGCACGACCGTTTGAAAAAGGAAAGCTATAGAACAAAACATAAAGAGCCGTGAGCGGAAGTGCTACCTGCTACCAGCGGCCGTAGCAATAGCACTTATAACAACAGCAATAGCGGCGTTAATAGCAATCGGAACAAGGTGGCAACGCCAATGATGCACTAAGTAGCGGTAGGAGTAGCATTAGTGGTGGTCGTTCTAGTTGTGGTGAGAGGAATGACAGCAAGAGCAATATCAATAGTTCTGGTACTTGTACCAGTAGTAGTCGGCGTAACAGAGCAAGAGTAAGAGTAAAAGGAGTCAGAGTACTACTACTACTAGTACTAGTACTAGCAATAGTACTAGCAATAGTGAGTAGTAGTAATGGAAATAGTGACAGTCATAGTCATAGTGTTAGTAAAAGTAGTAGTAATAGTAATAGTACCAGTAGTAGTAATAGTAATAGTAATAGAATAGTAATCGTAATCGTAATCGTAATAGTAATAGTAATAGTAATAGTAGTAGTAATAGTAATAGTAGTAGTAATAGTAGTAGTAATAGTAATAGTAATCTTAATAGCAATAGCAGCAGCAGTAGCAGAATGTATAACAGTAGCTGTAACAGTAGCAGTAATATTTTCAGTGCCTGTAACAGCAATAGTAACTGTAATAGTAGGAGTAAAAGTAACAGTAGTAGTGGCAGTAGTAGTACTGCCCATATGCGCCTGCAGTTCTTCGACGGGTGTATCCGTTGCAAAGGTATGGTCAGGAAAGCAAGCGGATAGAAACTACAGTAGCGGTAAACATGATGATAATCATGGTTGTGAGGGCCGGAAGGCTGTGCTTCTAGCATTTGCGATCAGGACTCGATTCCGCTGTAACAGTAACAATAAGCAGCATGAAAGACAATGCCAACAATAGAATTAGCAACAGCAATGCTAGTGAGAGAAGTATCATAACTAGTACTGGCGATTTGTAGCAGTGATGGCACTTCTCGTTGAAGTGTTGGTAGTGGCGATCATGTGAACAGCCGTAAAAGCATTGACAAATGCTTTGGTGACAATGGCACGAAGAAGCACAGTTAAAACTACAACATCGATAACATCAATAATCATGCCCTACCAAAAGTAATACATCATAGCAGAAATGATGATGCTCGCCACAATCATAAGAACAATGGTAACCACGCAACGATACAAGAAGCGGCCATGAAAGCCATGGGAACCATGTCAATAAGAGCAACGGCCAATCAACAGCAGTGATAAAATATCAAGGTACGCAACGCAATAAGAATAGCAGTACTAGATAGTATTAGCAACACACCTATTTTTTAATGTGGTGGTTATAGACATAGCACTGGTAGGAAGCAAGAAGCTATCTTAGCAGAAAGCAGGAAGTAGAAACCAGGAAAAACTGCAGCATCCCTCGCCACTTGCTTGAAGGCCTTCATCATGACGACCAGCTCAGCAGTCGGAGGAAGGCCATTGGGTCGGGCCAAGGAAGCCGTACTTATGCAGTCTGCTAAATAATGCAAGTTCGCTTCTTTGGGCAGGAATCCATTCCTAGGCATTGCCTACCTGGTGGTGGGTGTCGCCTGCTTTATCTTTGCACCGGTGTGCCTGGCATAGCTTGTTGAGAGTTGTGTCAAGTGCAGCTGCCTTCTGCTGCATCATTTGCCAGTTCTACTTCGTCAACAGTGTGCGAAAGGGACGATCGACTTGCCCTAATCTCAGCTTGTCGATGAGCTTTATCCAGCCTGTATCATGAGACTTAATTTCAGAAGGCGATCCTCGAAGCCAAGCGCCCATCTTTTTGTGCCGAGGGGAAGTGCGGCCAGCGTGAAAGCAGCCGCGGCTTTGAATCCAAGCTGCGGACACGGCTGTGCTGAGAGCTGGGGCACGGGTGCGCCCAGCCCCGGCTGTACAATAAGATGTGCAGTGCCAAAGGCAGTCACGTCTCTCATAGAGGAGCCCGAGGCCCCGCAAGAGTTGAGGCCTTGCTCCGAGACATCAGCCAATTCTCTAGTGGCGCCAATCGTTTGGGAAGTGTTGTGTAGGCTTGGAGAGAGGTTGTTCATGACATTATCAGTCGTTGATTTGCAGAGGCGCATCAGACATGTATGCCGCATTTCCAGTACACGCTGTAGCGGAAAAAACGCATGACTGCAATGGGTGTCAGCTCATCTCGATAAAGCCTGGTGCAACATGCAGTACTCCGAGAACACAGGTCTACCGTCCCAAGAGACTTGTGCAGGCCCACCACACGGCCTAATCTTCAAAGGATTGTCGTCCTTGCTCCTGGCGGCTCAGTCGCACAAGAAGACTTGGGCTATTCAAGGCGCAAAAAGGCACAGAAGCTCGAAGTGCGTGCATCCGAATAAGAAGACCATGGCAAGTCCTTAGAGCAACCCACAACTTGCCGGCAGCATGGCCATGGCAGATAAGGTGGGATCATTTAAAAGAGAGGCGTTCATGTGTTCTTTTTGCTTTGATGGAGGTGGTCGATTCCGAGCTGTTCCTCATAGGTAGGGAACGGAATGTGGAAGGTGCCGCGCTGAGTTTGGTTCCGACTCGACGCCTGCCATAAGTACGAGACGACCTCAGGTGAGATAATGGGCCGCCAGGATGGAGATGCTCGCAAGCTTTTGCCCCAGCAAAGCTCAGTTCCTGCCTTTTCAAAGTGCTTTGTGCTTGGGATTGAACTTTGTATCACCAGTGAACTCACCATCATCCAAGCGGCTGTGTGAGGCTTTTCCCAACCTACACCCACGCGACTCCTGCGGCAACGGGTGAGGCACGCCAACACCGTGTAACAAAGAAGGCTTTATGGTCTCAGGAGGTAATCGCTGATGCCTTCTCTCAAATCTTCCCTGGGTCCCCAGCTAGTTGTATGCACAACCACAACGCACTTCTAGCGAAGCGCCAGTACTTGGTACCACCATCCGCATGCCTAAAACAGACGGCCAAACGGAACAGCGCTGGAGGTTAGTGTGAATGGAAAGGCCGGCTGACCCAGACCGAGACTGGTTCAGGGATGCCTGAACACTAAGCGGAACCGTACTCTGAGGTCCTTCAACTTTGGACTTTTTCGCAGCTGGAGGCAGAGACGGCCACTGTGATGAAGTGTGTTCGCAGCGCCGCAAGTTTGCCCTGAATTCTTTCATAAGCTCTGACAGCTGTGCTTGCAGACGCTGAACCAGTCTGCCTTGCGGAAGCGAGCATTAGCCCGCTTCTCATCCTTGGAAACCGGTGTGCAACAGCATGTGTGGTGAGTGAAGAGTCATTCAAGAATCCAAAGGCCGTTCGGGATGCGGTTGGAGAGGCCCCGGGGTCTTGAAGTATTGGGACATGTCGGGGCTGACTGCTTCATCTCAGAGATTTTGCTGAGCGCGGAGCATGGGCAGCCGCAGCCATTTTCAGCCGAGCCGGCTGCCTTCAGAGATCTTGCTGGTTGTTGTGGGTGCCATGGACGATGAGTATAGCCTCTCGCATCCTCGCTGCTTCTCCACACCCAACATCGTCGGGCCGTCTGCCACGTTTCAGAGAGCAGGTGGTGCCTGCATATACACCACGAGCAACTCCGTGTATGGCTCCAGATATCCAACGGAGATGAGGCCACCCCGATTCGGCCTTTCCAACAAATTCTCCAAGTCTGTGGGGGAGTTTCCACGCCTGGAGAATGCAGGTCTAGGCAGCAAGATCACCCCATTCTGCCGTTACATGTACGGCACCACTGACTGGACAAGCAGAATGGGTTGAACCCTGGATGCAGCCAAGATGGCGGTGCTAGGTGGTGTTTTCTGTGTACCATACACGGAGCCACCATGTTGACCAGAGTCCTGTTGAGAAAGCTCTGGTGGTACCCCCACAGAGCCACAGCCGCTCTGATGAGCCCGCCAAAAGATGGTTTGAAATGCCAAATGTAGGCAAATCTTATCCGAACGGATAGGAGGAACCCCGAGCAGGACAATACCCAAAAGGGTGCTTGTCTGAAGCGCAGTTTTTGTTTCACCCTGTTTGCCTTGAAAGCGTCTAGCTTTCTTTCAATAGTTGAAGAAAGAAATCAGGTATTAGATGTCAGAGCGCACACAGCGGAAATGAGTCCATGTCTTCAAACCTGAGATGTCGTAGGTTGACTGGCACGGTATCTAGCCTCTGCTTGCATCTGTCTTGGGAAGGCACAATGCCCACCGCTGCCTTCTGGCCGATGTGATGACCTCACCCGCTGGATCCTGCAGATGCAGGTCAGGCGCATTTGATTGTTCGAGACGTGTAGGAATGAGGATTGGGTGTCCAGGAGCAGCTGACAAATCAGAAGTCGGAACAAGGCCGGTCTGGAGGCCATGGAGACGTGACATGAGAGCTTCCGAAATTGTGATCTTGGGAATCTAGTCTAAATCTAAAGTCGCTAGCGACAGCTCTGTCAGGACGATGCGCAGGGAGCTTGTAGAAAGTCAGCCAGCACGGGGCGCTAATTACTGCCTTAATGCAGGGCTCGCAAGTGGCGGAGAGCTGCACAGACTGCACAGGAACCAGGAATGCACTGGGAAATGTTGCAAGCAATTCTGTCTACAGCGTTGACGAAAGCGTAGTGGGCTTGAAACCTTGAACTAGGGTTGCTTGTTAACGATCCGATATACTTACAAGCAACTGTCATTTGATCTGAGCATGTTGAAGCTGCATATGGGCGGCACTACCAGTTTTTTGATGTTGTCCGGTGCTAACACGCGCTACCAGCCGCTTTTCTGACTGTTGGAAGAAACCGCTGAGCTGTCACGTGAGCCATGTGAGCTTGGTGGAGGCTATGGCACAGGGCATAAGGTGCCGCCTTCCTTCGCACAAGAGACCAAGGCAGGGTGTTTGTACGAAGGATCCCTCAACAGCATTTAAAGTCGAGACGTCGGTATTTTGTGTTGACTATCTTTCTTTGCCGAGTTTTCTCGGCTCCTCATTTTGTATGCAGATTAAGTGTTGAACAGAGCTCTGGGACCACCATTTCCAGCAATTGTGCCCAAGGCATACATACTGGATGAAGCTTTTGATCTTAGTTGCTTGTCCATGGATGTCATCCAGCACAGCCCTTCACCAGGAGATGGAGCAACGGCAAAAAGTTGCGACAGACTTGCCAACCAGCAGGCCTGGCGGACACTAGAACATGGATGCGAACCTTTGCAGGTGAGGCTTCTAGCCAAGCTACAAACTGCCAGACTACTATGTAACATTTGATCGATTTGGCTCTCTGCCATTGATACATACATGTATTTATGTAGAGATATATGCCAGCCTTCATCTACAAAGTCCGCTATGTAGTGTGTCTGACCTGTCCTATGCAGATGCTCAACTGTGTATGCTCCCAGTCCTGCACCTGGGCAGAGCTCAACACCATCCATCGCACCAGGTCGACGACAGAGGCAGTGAACGCCTCGCGTGACAACTACAAGGACCTCAAGATGCAGCAGAATGCCTTCAAAGAGGCCAGGCCATTCGCTACAAACCAGGGGCTCCAAACCTTTCTCTGATTTTCTGCACCTCTTGAACAGAGAATTCGGAGCGTTTGCGTACAACAAATCAGCATCCGGCGTCTCCAATGCATGGAACCTTTCAGATTCTCCTTGGTCTTAAGCCTGAGTGCCTGCCCAATCATGTGGGGGTTTCCCAAAATTAGGGGTATGTTGGGGAGTCCCTCCAATAAGGAGTACAGATAACAGTATTTTGGCGTCTATATTGGGGTCCCCCAGGCCAGCAGCAAGCCTTGGCAGGTAGCAACCAAAGCTGTGCTTGCCAATTGCATACTGGAGGTTAGTAGGGAACATGGGAATGCAATCCCTATATGATCCCTATATACTATATTCCCATTTTCCCTACCATATTCTCATATTCCCATTATCCCTGCATGACCCCTATATACTATATTCCCATTTTCCCTACCATATTCTCATATTCCCATTATCCCTGCATGACCCCTGTATAGTATCTTCCCTTTCCCCTACTAACCCCCAGTAGCCAGCTGTCAGGATCCAGTACTTGGAATTCAGACGGGCCGAGTTGGCGGCGAAGGGAAGAGGTGCCAGCCCCGGCTGTTGACAGTAATAATAGTATATAATAGTGATTATAGTATATAATAGTATGTAATAGTACATAAGAGTATATAAATGGTATATAATAGTGTATAATAGCATATAAGTGTATATAAGAGTATATAACAATATACAATAATGATATCAGTTGTGATACTATACTAGTAGTAAGAACATGGGGTCTATAGGGCTATGAAGAAACAAATAGAAACCACGGAAAACTGAAATGAAAACTGGGATGCTACAGTGGTAACATGTTGAGGAATCAGGGGGAGAGCCGACATGATCACAATTTTGAAAGCTTGGAAGGCATCTCTTCCCCAAGCAGAATATGGCAGCAGCCTCAGATATAACGTGGATAGAAGTTCCATGAGGAAGTCGCTGAAGTACCCTTCCTTTGACTAGCGACGGCTATCGTTGCTACCGCTGATGCCACTGACTAGTCCATCAGCTGGTGTTGTTGCCAAGCGGACAGCCCCCATGCTTAGAAATGCAATTTCTGTCAGGCAAGGATGTCAGCTACATGGGTAAGCTGTTAGTGATTGTTCTCTGCTGTATCTAATGGTTCATCAGATAGGTTGTCTTTGGATTTTCGGTCGTTGTGCAAGAGGTTCCTTGTTCGAATCAGAATTTGTACCAGGTGACTCACGGAGTCTCGTCTGCCGAGCCACAGGGCATTGCCTCGCTGCGGCAGACGCCTGAAGGCCGAAGGCCGGTCTTCAGACCGCTGTCGGTCTTATTGCTTGTTTTCCTGCATGTTGTTTTAAAACATGGTGCCATTGGTCATGATCTTTTGTAAGCACCGCGCGCTTACCGCCTCGGCTGGGCGTGCGACCTTTCGGCGCGAAATGGAGGGCGCATTTTTCTTACTTTTTTTGGTATTTTTTTTTTTGGCTGCCCCCTCCCCCAACCCTCCTTGTTAGATGTGAAACCTTGCAGGAATTGCTGCAAGACACATACGTATCTTGAGCCTTGTGTTTTGCAACTCGAGGAGGCCTCTCCGCCCCTTCCTCCCGTCGTTTTAAGTCATGCAACCCTGCAAGAATTGCTGCGAGACCGCTATTACTATCATTAGAGCCGTATGATTACTTTTCGCATTTTGTTGGTATTAGTTGTTTTTCTCAACTGTAACATGAGTATTACTATTCTACTATTCTACTGATAATCTTAGATGTGTCATACTCTCATTATTTTATTACCTATGATCATTATATTAACGCGGCTATTGCGATTTTTATTGCCCATTTTGTGTGCTTTTTATGCTTCTCATTGTTGCTATTACTGTGATTATCCGTATTTCTATTATTATGACAATGAATACCATTACTACGGTTGTTACTATCATTACCATAGGTAAGATTACAGTTATCATTTCCATTACTGTGTTATGACTATTGCTATTTTTACTACTATGATTATTTTAATTCTTATTGCGTTTATGTTCATTATTGCTATTGTTATTAAACCTAAGACCAGTGTTACAATGATTACTATTACTACTATTCATTCCATTTTGATTCTTACTACTAGTACTTTTCGTACTGTGATGACTATTAATGTTTATTTCTATTAGCACTAGTATTGCCCTTGTTAAGAATATTACTATCCATACTAGCTTGTACTCTCATCACTAGTCTATCATTACTGTGATGGTTTCAGTATACCATTATATGTTATTTGCATTTGTCTTTGTGCTATTGCTACTAAGCTGGTGGAATCGAGCTCTCGCGTGGAACGTCTTACTGTTGATTGTCTCATTCATATTCTTATTGCTATGATTCATAGCTCTGTCACTGCAATTACTTCTACTACTACTGCCCTGGGGAAGTCGAACTCTCATGTGGAGTGTCCTGACATTTCGCCTCCAAATTGCGGAGCGTCCTCACTCTTTGCCGCAAAAGCTAGTGCTGGCGTGAGGAGTCCTTTCATTCTTGCTGACATGGAAAGAGCCTTCTTATTTTTGCTGAAGAGCAAGCTGCGGCCTGTAGCATCCTCACATTTTGCCTCGACATTGAGCTCTCGCGTGAAGTCTTCCCCAAAAGGGAAACAAGAAAGAAGAAAAAGGGAAGAACAAAGAAACATAAAAAGGTGAAGAAAGAACAGCCCACCTATTCAAAAGTGGGCTCGGAGCCTGCTGGGTGCAAGGGTGGCGGTGCAGCGCCAAGGGCTGGGATCTCAGGTTTGGGCTGGGTGATTTGTCAATGTCCTGAAACGGCAGAGACCGAGTGCGGCCCGTGGCCTGCCTCCCAGGAGCAACTGACATCAGAGCCTGCAGGATAGGGGTAAAGAGGGAACAAACTTTGGCTGGGGCAAAGTTGAATTTGGAGGCAATTGCGGCAACGGCGACTTGTCTCGCAACATTTTACGCTGTCGCTGTTCAGGTATATCCCGACAGTGGACAATCTCATGGAGCAGAAGCGAGAAAACGAGGCCATTTCCATGCACAAAATTGCCGAGCATGCGTGCAGTCAGCTCTGTCTCAAACATTCTTCCAGGCCCGCGAAAGAGCCATGATGGAGGGGGGTGCAAACGGGCCAGCACCGGTAAACAGGCGGTGAGCAGATGGGCAATAAAGCTTGAGACTTTTTAAGCTGCCAGAGTGCGCAGGCCTTCGAATCACGTCAGTGAGGATCACATGGCGCATTTCGGCTGCTGTGCACCCAGAGCTTCCAAGCACAAGATGGGCTGTGGCCCTCAGTCTCCAAAGAGTTGCCAGCTTGAGGCACGAATGCCGTGCGAGCCCTGGGGTCTGCACCATACAGTCAGCTCTGTGCCCATTCTTCGCAGCCTCAGGATGAGCCGCCACCTGGTGGCCGCCGGCATTCCAACAAGCCTCGGGTGGGCCGGGTCTCCTTCCACTAGCCCAATCTCTTTTGAAATTCTCAGCAGGATCACTTCCTGGGCGCCGGCACGTGGGAAACCACGGAGGCTTCCAGCAGTCAACTTCCTATCTCTTTCCAACCGCCACAGTGCGAGAGGCAGTGCATGGCAAGAAGTACATCGACGGATACCAAAAGCGGTTCGCTCATTTTTGCAGTTCAGAAGCAAGCCAGTCCGCATCAGCCTGCACTGTGGCCTAGGATGGATGGCCATGCTGGGCGTCAAGACTCGTACCGAACATCTTGGAGAAAGGCCGCGAACAACGCATGCTCTCATGTGGCAGTTGTGGCCTCCACCTTTCCATCTGCTTTGTCTGAGCCCTGCTGCAGAACCCACAAAAGCTCCTTGGCAGCAGCATGCTGGTATAACGCGGTGGCCTCTCTCCAGTTCAGACCTCAGAGCACAGCGCAAGAGAGGACAGCATGGCGTGCTGTTATGTCTGATTGTTGATACGAAATGTCCAGGCTCCAGAGTTGAGCTGAAGCCGAGGTCTTCGCACTCTTCACCGCCAAGTCTAAAACAGACACCAAGAGCAGTCTCAGCCGCACACGGATGAGGTGCTGGCTCCAGCAAATGCCACTCCAACCTAGAGCCGCAAAAGAGTCAGATTCATGCTTGGAGCTATTTTTGGTTTATCAACACTGGCGCTGTCTGTCTTTCGTTGATCAGTGTCTGCAATTCAAAGCCCGTGGAAAGCATTGCGTCGCAAGCTTGGTGGGTGCCGCAATTCGGAGCTTTGGCTCAGAATAGATGGCTCAGGGCTGCGGAAGAAAAGGTTCCAACCTTCTCAGGGTGGGAACCTCATTGGCACTTGAAGCCAGATTGAAAGACCCGAATCCTGCAGCGCAGGGGCAAGAGACCACATGGGGGCAAGCTCGGGCATTTTGACTTCTGAGGACAAGGTGCAACGTTCTTGTGCAGATGTTCTTCACACGATTGAGCAGAAATAAGGTCACTGAGCAGCCTGGCCAGCCCCAAAGCCTCGATACGGCAACATGGACGCTGACTTAGTAGCAGCGGGTATTGGAGCTCGTGATGCCAGGGATGCCAGGGTTGGATGGCGCCGATTGTGGCTCTAGCTCTAGCTGTCAGCAAGGGTGCCCCTTGACTGTTCGCACACCAGCGCCAAGACACATCGCAATGGTCGTTTTCAATGTGTCCACGGTGAGCATGCAAGCTCCGCCCAAGCAGTTAAGGCTGCTGGCTTTGCACGGACACGGAGGGAGGCATCAGCAGTTCTGTCGCCATCTTGAAGACTTCTTGAAGAACGTGCTGGAACCAACGGGCAGTGTAGAAGGGCAGGAAAGCATGGCAGTCGAGTGCCGCTGCATTGCCGCACCCTACCCAGAACTCGAGCGTGCATCAGGTCGGCACATGTGGTGGAGGTACGACGAGGACGGAAACGGCGATCGACCCCTGGATTGGGCAGAGATGGAGATGTCGCTCACAAAGATTGCTGAAGAGCTCGCGGCGGCAGACCCACCCTACGATGGTGTGGTAGGTTTTTCCCAAGGCGCAGAGATGGTCCATTCCATCGCTCTGCTGCATCACTGGGAGGACCCACGGTTCCTTGGACCTCTGATGCCCCGTTTCGTTGTCAGTTTTAGTGGTGCCGTAAATCCAGGGCATTTTGAGTCTGTGGGTGGCATGGGCCCGCCGCGTGATATCCCAGGACCCTACCAAGGCCCCCAAGGCGATGTGAAGCTGCCATGTCTTTTTGTGGGTGACTATGCCACAGATGGGTGGTACTCATCCTCACGCTTCAACAGTACCACCCGCTTATACGCCGATCCGCTTGTGCTTCCACACAAGGAGAAGCATCGCTTGCCAAAGTTGGCCGATAGCTCGGCGCAAGCGCAGCAAGTTCGGCGTTTCCTGGCTCGATTCGCGAGACAGCGGTGAAGAAAAGGCCTCCCATGCCACTTAAAATCGAATGTCTTGGAGCACTTCAATGCTACATGTCCGCTGAGGAGCAGCTTTGGGCGCCTGACATTGGGAAGTGAGTGCTACTGCCCTCCTCTCAGTGGGAGGCTTTTGCGTGCTGTGCGTGCTAAGACGACTTGTGCCCGTGCACGCATCATGATGCGTTTTTCAAGTCTGCCACTAGTCCGGCAATACACGGACAGATGTAGGAGCTGGATGTGTGCACGGGGCATGGGGAATGACAGTTCATGTGTGCCAGTTGGTGCATTGATACATGACCTTCAGCCCATTTTCACCCGCAAATCAGCTGGCCTAGCTCTCGATGTAGTGAGCCGCTCTTGACGGCATGGAGCGCCGAAGCCTGGTGTCTCGTGGAATGGCAGTGTTGGGAGCAGGAGGCGCCTGCACGCGGGAAGCCCACCTCCGGGCATCTTAGCAGATTACAGTGGAACAGCCTTTTGCAGTGCTCACTAAGTGGCTTGACGGGATATTTCATTCCAAGGACAACTCAGTTGTTAGCCCCGATGCCATTGCCGAAGGACCAACAGTAGCATGTTGGTTTGGCAGCTCCAAAGCGAGAGACAAGTAGATGACAGATTCCCTTTGAATGTTGCAGGCGCACGGCAGGATTGCACAACAGGTCTGGCGAAGAACTTGCAGCCAAACGCTTTCAAGTATCATGTAGAGCCTTGGCTAGTCCCTGGCGCGTGTTGCCTTGCCAGCCTCCCCCTCCCAAGCAAGCTTCAAGGATTTCAGCTCTGATGTTCCGGGCGAAACTGCTGAGCTTTGGGTTGGTACTCCGTACGCGGCGTGGATCGCATCTCGACTGCCGGAGCACCAAATTCCCTGAGCTTTCCACCCTCCAAATTGACTGGCACAAGGAAAGAGATGTTCGCCGGCGACATTCCAAGGCCATGTATCCATTCTCCACCCACTAGGCAGCTTTCGGCATGTGGTCCCTGGTAGGAGCATATGGCGCAGATAAACGAGCTTCAAGAACAGCTGCGGCAGGAGGTTCTCGGTTTGTGTCATCGCCGAGTAGGTCTGGATGCTTTGCACGTAGGTGCAGCGCCGTAGAGCGGTGGAGCAGGAGCTGGAGGACAGCTTTGCAACTATAGCGCCAAAAAGCCTACAGTCGAAGGTAAAGGAGCCATGATCTCTGCAGGAAGCCAGGGAGGAGTTGAAGAAGGTCCCAGAGTTGCAGGCATCTGGAATGTGCATCTATCCCACCTAAAAGCTGAAGTCTTGCTGCAGCATTTTCTCGGCAAGGCAGCTCTGACCGAGAGCAGGCAGACCCTGATGAAGCACTCTTGCTTTGTTACGCCTAGGAAAGTCTACGATGTCTGATTCACTGCGGCTTGCGCACCATGTTCCGTTGGAAATGTTGAGGTATGTGGAGAAAGGCCTCGCTATCAGCGGCCTGGGAAACATACACGCGGTTTGTCGGAACATCCTCCACCAGTGGCGAAGAGTCTGGGCAGCAAAGAGCTGATCTAAAACTGAGCTTGAGCTGCCTTCTGTTGTTGAAAGGACACACAACAGCGCCCTGGCTGGAGACATGAGTGAATGGCGTGTCGCACTTTTGCCAACAGTTTGGCCATGCTTGAGATGCAGCCAGAGGTCAACACGATTGACCGACTGCGCAGACGAACTCCCGACGTGGGGCGTTGCCATTTCGAGCTGCTTCAGTTGCATGAGCAGGGCCTCGAGCATCTCAAGGCCAGTCCTCGCTGCAGTCCCATCTGTCTTTCAGTAAACAGATTCTTCTGAATACAGGTCTTGCCGACTAGTGAAACCACGAAAGTCATTGCAGCCTTTCTCCTGCTTGTGGCCCTTTTCCTACCAGGGAGGAAGGAAACAATCCTCCCTTCTACAGGCTCCTCGACCTCTTCCTCCCACCCTCCTCCACCTACTTTCGGTCCAGACCTTCTGGCCAAAACTTTTGGCTTCGCAGGCCTGAGGCTCCCACCGGCCAGGTCACCAGGAGAGAATCCTCCCACCCAGAGACCAATTGGCAGACCATGGCTCTATAAGATGGCATGTGCCAAGGACATGCCGAGATTGGATACTCGCTGTCGTGGTGCTTATACCACGGGCCAGACACACTAAAAAATCTGGTCAGCTTGTAAACTTTTAAACAGGTTCTCTCAGTGCCTCCTTTCACATGCCTGTTATTGGAGCAGAGAGTGACGATGTCATCCATCGCATTGTCATCGTAAGCTGTCGACCTTCATCATGGTAGGGCTCCGCTCAAGAATCTCGTCAGGCTACCCAGGTGAGGCCACCAGGATCCTGAAAAAGTGCCCCTGGAAGGCTGTGCAGGTTGACATGTTGAATGCTGTCACACGTGTCTTGGCAGCAGGCGTCAGGCACTCATCATATGAATGGTGTGTTTGGTGTTCTCAGGTTTCATGGACAAAGATGCCATGATCATCCCAGATCGCGAAGAACCGGATGAGGAGTGGCTGTGAAATCGAGTAGCCCCTCGACACCGCTGAGATGCCAAAGTGTGCTCGGCGATCACCAGGTGCATGTATGCCCAGTAGGCGAGTAGGAATGCGCGGCGCGTGGCAGTGCAGCTATGCTTGCTGACTGCATCATGGGCTGAAAGGTGCTAGCAGCTAGCAGTTGCACGATACTGCCTTCCAACAGGCGAGGTTTTAATTTCGACAGGCTGATAATGATGAGCTCTCTGGCGTGGCTAGCTGTAGCCATCATGAGTAAGTCAAGCAGTCAAGCAGGGGCTGCGTTCTCGCCGCCAAGGTTGCGTTTCACAACGTGTCACAGTTGTTGGCGTGGCTGGTGTGGCTAGGAGTTCGCTCCCACATCCATTCCAAAATTTTCAGACAGCCAGCGTTTGTTGAAGCCTCGTGGGGTTGCCGTCAAGACGATGAGCATCCCGCCAATTTTAAATCTGCACCTGCGAATCCGTGGTGCAGAGGCGAGGTTTGTGCTGGGAAAACTCGGTGTCAGGTCTTGAGTATCTTTAAATAACCGCATTCTGGCAACTGCCTTGCTTGGGAATGGAAATCCGAAGGGATCCTGGCCTGTCACAACCCAAGGTGAGCCCAGCTCCTGTGAGATGCGGAGGCTCTTCGGATGTCTTTTGCACTCTGGGACGGTGCGTTGGTTGAAGCCGTTGATGTCAACTGGGCTGCAGCTGTCTAGTCTCAACTCAGGCATCAAGGAGCATGATCCCGTGTGATCCCACGTATATGTACGTCTACTCCTACTTCCATTGCCACTGAAGCTGAAGCCGGACATTTTGTCAGCTGCCTTTGGGAATTCCGACATGGCTATGGCAAGCTGCTCACGCACGAAGGAGGGGATGCAAGTTCGAAATTTCAGCCGCGATGGACTGGAACCAAATAAATCGATGTCGATGTGTCAACGCTGTTCCGTCAGCACCAGCCATCCATGTAAATGTCCATTTGCAGAGAAGTCCCCTGCCAAAGTGGTGACATCCCATCCATCGAATCCAAGCTTGTCAGATGCATCAGGAGTGCGAGCTGTGGCATTTGCCGCCAGTGGGGGAAGGCCAGATGCTCCTGGCACGCAAAAAAAGGTTGGAGCATGACGCCTTCCAGTGAGTACGAAGTCTGCAGGCCACCGCTCCAGGGCTGGCCTGGCCTTGGGCAGCCTTGGCCGTCGCCTGGCTGCTGGCCTTTCACCGATATCAGCACCTTGGCCTCACGATGCAAAGACGCCGAAGTCCTGAAATGGAGCTGGTAGCTTGTAGCCATCTATCTGATGCAATGAGGCTGACGAGAATCTGATGCCAGACTGGGAGCGCGGCACATGGCAGGAAAGCCTTCTAAATCTGTCTGGGCACGAGGCACCTCAGCTTTATGGAGCGGCCTTTGCCAGAGCCAGTGTAGTAGGAGCTCATGCGAAAATCAGGTCAAACTCCGAAAGCTGCCGCTTAAGCCCTTGCCGCGCACGGGCAGCGAGAGAGTGCGCAGGCGATGCGAGCCGGGCTCTTTCATTGTGTGAGATACCGTGCAACAAAGTGCCTTGTGCCCAGGAGCTCGGGTCATGAACGCCTGCCAGACGAGTTCATGCCGAGGGTGGGGCCTTCAGCGAGGGTGGGGCCTTCAGCTGCAAAGCTCATGAGGAGTATGGCATTTCGACAGTTGCAGCGCCGTAGCTGAGGTGTCCCAGCCGCGCACCATGCACAGAGCACAGACTCGAAGCTTGGGCGACTCGGCGGAGTTTGTTCGGACAAAGATGACGTCCGATGTCGTGGAATGCTTCTACTTTGACAGACACTTGTCACACAGAATTCCCCCAATTCAGGAAGCCGCTCTTCATCCTTGCCCACTCTACCACGGCTGGCTGAATCTAGACAGACGAGTGACCCTGTGAGGACGGTCAGATCTTCCAAGTTAACTTAGTTTGGCACACATCGCGAAATGTCTTGCCGCTCATTCTTGGCTGGAGCATAGGACCCATGTGACCAATGCCAAGGCGGGCCACTTGCAGAGCTCAACAACCAGGTGTCTAAGTCTAAGCCGTATGCCACGCCCTTCTCGCCGTCACACTTTTGTAGTTGATCACGGGTTGTGTAGCCTTGGAGAAGTCTTGGAGAAGTCTCTGAGAGGTCCGGTTTGACAGCAGGCTGAATGAGGAGGTCCTCATACCGAGCAGGTGAAGGCATTGAAGCTGGCGTGAACAACTTGTGCGTGCAGCTTCATGCGCTGAATCCTGTGTGAAACACCCTCCAAGCAATCTTGACATTGCTTCTGATACCAGCACTGCTCAGCACTGCTGGCAGGAATTAATGCATCTGTGGCAGAGACCCGGGTGATAGCTGGTGGAAGGGCAATTGAACAGAGGTGTAGCACTTCTGCAACAAGATTTTGGTCATGACATATCTCCTGTACAGTCACATTTTGATGGAATTTGGCTGGTTGGCCCACCGGCCTGTTTGTGAAATTGAAATTAGGAGGGCATCCTGCCCATGCACGCAAGCGTTTTTGCCCTGGAATACCTCCGCAGAGTGCCTTGCTACTGCCCGCTCTGTGGGGCTGAAATTGCTGGACCCACTTGAGCTGTCGACGGCGTCCAGGCTGAGCAGCACAAATGAGCTAGCAATAGAAGAGTGTCTGTGACTTTGGACAGATTGTGCCAGCATGATGATGATTCAGCCGAAATTTTCACCTTCCAAAGCTTGGTAGCAGGAAGTCTAATGCTGCCTGGAGGAAGCTGAAGGAGCTCTGCCTCACGGAAGATGGGACCGCGCCTCATACAGGAAGGGCGAGCTGCAATGAGCTGCACTTTTTTAGCCCAGGCAGTGCGTTCGCTGTGCTTCAACAGGCATCCTGTCTGCACAAGTTCGCTGGGATGGGGACAGCCCTGCTGTGCGGGTTGCAGGCGGCTCAACCTGTGATGATGGCGCTTCGCTCGGGTCAACACTCGAAACTTGCATCACCCAGCAGCCGACCCAAGCCATGGCGTTGCCGGCTAAGTTGCAAAGCACATAAAGCACATGCAATAGCAGACTCTGGGATTGACGCCATCAAGTTTGGCCGGCAGCGTCAGCTTTCTTGTTTGGCACATGGTTGACAGGATTCCTGGTTCGACTCAGTGCCTGACTGGACAAGACAGGCACCATGGTTTTTGGTCTGCATTTTTTCGTCCGTATCCCTTATAGAGCACGTCGGTTCACAATCCAGGCCCAGAGTGTGACCATCGGCGACACATTGGACTCCAAGTGCCTGGAGGCAAAATGGCTCCCCTTCCTTTTGGTGTATTCTTTCTGCATCTGGCGTACTGTTGCAGGTCGAGTCCTTTTCGATGAACAGGAGTCAGTGCATTCACTGATTTTGATCGATGCATGTGTATTCAAATAGTGCTGGCCTTGGACCTTGCAATCTCAATTCTGTCAATGCAGGAATCTGGTGGAGCACGGGCTACCCCTCATGCTTCGCGTCCCTGAAATCGGCAGCAGATTTTCCGAGCTACTTGTCAGCGAATCTTACATCATTCAGCGAATGCTTGTTATGTGCATGCATCTTCAACTCCAAATCTGTGACGAAGCCGGGGGGTCAAGGTACTTCGTCTGTGTGCATAAGGGGGGCGAGAACTTCAGTCTGTCCGGGGCCAACATTTAAACACTCAGCAATGCATCAAGCCGTTTGCGTCTTACCCACTTGCATGCTTTCTCTCAGGCTAGACAGGAGGATCAGCCGGGAGAAACACAACTTCCACTACGCCTGGGAGGCGTAGCTGCCCACAGATAAATGTTGTTTGGCTCTGAAGGCCAAAGTTGCCGTTGACGATTTCATTGAGTGTCCATCGCGGCAGCTGCAGGACGTGAGCATCTATCACTACATCCAATCCCTCTTGCCTCAGGTCTGGCACAGACCTGTTGCGACTTAGCCTCAAGGGATACATGTCAATGCTGTATGGATCTAGGCAAGGCTTTTGCGGTTATCCACCTTTTCCCCACACTCAGAAGTCCAGAGAGGACGAGAGCAGCTCGGAGGTGGCAGCCGAACGCCCGGCGCAGGCATCTGAAAGCTTCTGGGACTGCTAGGAGATGAGCTCCGATTGTCCCAAAACTTGCACCTATACCTCAGAATACCTTACAGTAGTCTGATTGCTGAACTTGGGTCTTGAGGATAAACGGACTACCCCTTGACTACAGACAAGTTCCAAGCAGTGTTGGTGAGCACTGGAAGCCTTCATCGCAACTGCATGTTGACTTTCAACTTGACTTGCTAAGAAAAGGTTTTCAGTACGAACCGAAATAGGGCCAGGGCTGTGGAGACATGAATGATGATAGGTGGAGAGTGGGGCATAAGCTGCCCCAAATGGAGGGAGCTGAGCCAATAAGTGCGTCATGCAATTTTCACAGAGCAGGTGAGGCAAGAGTGCAGGCTACAGAGAGAAGAGAGCAGGCTAGGAGCGCACAGTTCATCCTGCAGGCCCTGAAGAATTACTACACTGATGAGGTGGTCTCAGACTCAGCACTCCTGAGCATGCGAAAGCGCATCTGACATTCGTTGTTGTGCACCTTGGCTTCAGGTGCGGTGTACTTTCAGCGATAAATGCAACCCTCGTCAGATAGACCTCATGTTCAGGACGAAGCAGGCCTGAAGGGTTGTTTCCGCCAACTGCACGCAAGCGTTTTGAGAAGTTCTGCCAGACAAGTAGACTGGCCTATGAGAGACCTTCTGGAGCTCTTGGTTGCCTGATGGCTTCAGTGTTGAACAAGGACCCATAGGAATTATTCTTATTATTATGATGAGTACTATTACTGCTAAATGGGGTTCTATGGGGGATTAGATAGAGGAGTATTATGGGGGTTATAGATTAAGGGTGCATGCTTCCTGGAGGCTCTGCAGTGCTGGGTCCACCTCATGCAGTCGAAGCTTCTGGCCAAGATGTCCCAGGAAGCTTGGACTTCAGTTTCAGGGCTGTAGCAGGCCTTTTAGGAAGAGTAGCAGGTCTCTTTGGAAGAGATGCAGCCAGGAGTGGTGACAGTAGCAAGACCCCTACAGAAGACTGACAAGCAGCAGAAGCCTAATCACAAGACCGATTCAGGGAGCCAGGACTGAGGAGCATTTTCGAGGATTTCCGAGCCCTCCTCCCATTCGCTTGAGTTCATGCGACATCCACTTGGCAAATCGCCACGACCTCACCCGACCTCACCTTAAATGGTGGTCTACGTGGAAAATGGTGCCAAATGGACTAGTTTCATTTTTGATGAAGGGCCAGAACGGATCTTTGGGCCGAAGCATCTTTGGAAGAGCTTTCGACAGCTACTTAACAGGTCTAGGCAGGGTCTAGGGGACATCAACAGGGTCAAAGTGGAACCGGCTTGCAAAGCACGCGAGCCCGAGCGGGGACACCGATACGGGCAAGTCAATTCCGCCCAGTTCGCAAATCCACACTGTGTTGCAGAGAAGTTCGCCAAGTCGCTTTCTGGAGTCCGCGACCTTTGAGTCAAATCTAGAGGTCTAATTGCCGAATTTTGCCTCGAACCGGTCGATTCCTGCTTGCCTGAGATTTTCCCAGTCCTTTCAGGCGTTGGCTAGAATTTGTTTTGCCGCGTTTCCGGGAGAACTGGATAACGGATTTTACATGACGGATGATGCCAATCAAAGCTGCCGCCGTCGTCGCCGTCACCGCAGAAGTACCTGCGGTCTGCACAGCATCCAAATCATGATCCGCACTGCCAGGCGGTCCACCCCTCTCTGTCACCCTGTGGTGCTGAGGCCGGAGAGCACGTTTCCAGCCTTCAAAAAACTTGACCTGCTTTGCTAATTGCTTGTAGACCACGCTGCCATCTTCATCTCCAAGCTCTCTGCCCATGCAGCAGGTTGGGTTCTTGTGCTGTTGAGCCAGGTGATGCGTCATGTTGCGTCTGCCTATCTGTTTTGGCGCAGCCGAATTTATGGGAGACTGCATTGGGGTCAGTGGAATCAGGCGCCCTGGGTTGCAGTGGACTTGGACAGTCCGCAGGCTGAGGCCAGAGCTGCACGTGGATACGTTCGCTAGGTCGTGCCGCACCGCACCAAAACTGAAAGCTTATAGGGTTAGCTGGCTTGATACTGATAGTGCTGACATTCGAACGACGCTACGGTGCCTTCTGAATTGGTTCCTTTGTGGCTAGACCATTTGGGTGCCTTCACCGCCCGAAACTACGGCACCATCACCGCAGAACGGTTCTGAGGCCGGGACGGCTGCGTGAGTTTGCGTGTAGATGTAGGAGCAGTCTTGTGTATCAAGAACTGGCCAAGGCTGATGCAGAAGTTGGAGTCGGTTCATGTATAGCATTGTCAAGTATTCAATTGTTTGACCGTGAGGAACTAGGCTCTTGGCTTGCATTTCATCGTCTTTGCGTTCTTTGCATTTGAGCCTCCGCAGGGTGATGGCCGGACTTCGATTGCAGAGCAGGATTGTTCTCCTGAGGCACAGCAGCACGTGTAAAGGCATTCGGCGGGTCTCCTGAGCCAAACTGACTTGGTCAGGTTTCCAAAGAAGAAGGTGAGTCGGAAGCATCGCACGTGGACCACTGAGAGAAAATGGGCAAGTGGCGGAGAGAGAAAAGATGAGTGCTTCTACATGTAGGTGGTCGCCCACGCTGCTTCCTTGCAGTCTTCGGAGCGACCTCCTGACTGGGTGGGCTGCTCAGTACTTGCCTTGCTGTTCGAGTCTTGCTGTTGCAACATTGCTCAAAGGCCACCATGAGTGAGAGGTCTTTAAACAGCTTCTACGCTGTGTAGATGAATTCAGTTGTAACTTGCCCGTCGGACGGCAGCTGCAATTCTCATCAGCCTGTAAACGCCATAGAACTGGTATTGGACATGCAGAGAGCTGGTGATGGCTGGTTGTCAAGTTTCGACCGGTCTGGTACCTGAGCTTTAGATTTTGGTGGTGACGCGGTCTTGCTGCCAAGCACGCTTTTCCCGGAATTCAAGCTGCGTAGGTTAATTCACCTCGACGAATCTTCTTTAAGAGCGCAGAGAGGATCCCTGATAATCATCTCTCCAGCCTCATGGGGCAATTTCAAGGCTCACGAGCTTGGGGTTCTGACCTGCGGGCTTCATGCACGCTCTTGCAAGTTTAAGGCAAACGAATGCAGAGCCCTTGGCTCCCTTCCCAGAAACCTTCCAAGAGAATGGACGGCTCGTGTGAAAGGTCCTGGAACTAGATTCACAGAGTCACAGTACTTACCCAATGCTCAATACTTTTCCAGCATAGTCGAAGTCGCTCTTGGATTGGGTCCTCCAGATAAGAGACCGGCTTGAGAACAAGTCAGCCACATTATGGTTCTGCAGCGCAGAAGCGCAACACGTGGTGCCAAAAGGGCCTGAGAGCTGCGCTTCGGTCTTCACCACTCCGCTCTTCCATCTGCCTTTGTTGGCTTTGTTGACATAATTTTGGCCCCAGTGATCGCTTTCATGCTCAACTTCAAACGGGCTAGAACTGTCCACTCATGGCAGCCACACAGCTTTGAAACTGTGTTTCAGCCATCAACAGCTAGGACGAATCTTGGCTTGCAGCCATGGTGTTTTTCGAAACGCTGGTTTTGGCCTGGCGCTGTTTGAGCTACGACAGTTTTGACCGTGGGTTCGAGCTCTGGTCCATGTGAAGGTGCATGGAAGATTTCCCGCTGCGGAGACGAAGCTTCTGATGAAGTCTTTCGGCCGAGATGGACTTCTTACTGATTCTTACCAGGGAATAAAGGAATATAATCCTATATACTATATTCCCATATTCCCTACTAAGAATACTAAGAACCAGTAAGACTTTGCGTGCAAGTGCTCAGATATCCAGTTTATTATCTTAGGGAAGCCTCCCGTGTGATCGTGGAGCGGGACGGAGCCCTGTTCAGGCATGTTGGTGACTGAATATTATTCTTAAGTATTCGATACTATGAATAAACTTGTTTCCCGGTAACCGCTTTTTCGCACTGCAGAATTCTTGACCTTGGCTGGCGGCACACGGCCCGACCTCTCCACAAGAAGGGTGTTGGCCGCAAGCTCAATAGCTTTGCTGATGCCATAGAGGTACTTGACAGCCCCGAATTTTAGGTCACATCTTCTATGGCCGGTGGTACGATCCTGAAATTTCATGCATCAATGAAATTACTTTGGAAATTGATGCGTCAGGTACTCCCTGATCTGGGGTGGAAGCCCAAAGTTGAAGCAAGAAGTTGAGGACACGTCCTTCCGCCTTTCTTGTCAACAAAATTCTGTCAGCATGTGGTCCTGCCGTCTTTTTCATGGTGTCATGTTAGCGTGTCATGAAGCATCTGCACAACAGCAGAACAAATCCGTATAAAGGCCTTCATGCCAGCGATGCAAGCATTGATCCGTGACACGCAAGCGTCATATGCAAGCCAGGTTTGTCCACAACACCGGAGTGGTTAGGCAGGAGGGTGAGTTCTTCTTGTGGCCACCTTGGGTGTCTTGACATACGCGGACATACCCTGGCAATCCTGAACAGCATTCTGCACAGACTCCCAGCAATCCAGCATCCAAGCTGTCGGCGTTGACTGGCACAGCTGAAGTGTCATAGATGTTGCAAGCAGCACTCTCATGAGTTGTAGTCCCAAGCAAGTCAACAGAGAGTTTGTTGGAGGCCAGCCAGTTTTTCCTTCCAAAGGCTTCAGCAACAGCCACCACCATGGTTGCCTCAACTTGACCTGAAGCCATCCACACACATTCTCCAACAGTTTTCGGGACTTCGTCGGGTTCCACCTTTGGTTTTAGCAACCAATAGAGGTTTTCTAGTATCAGCCTGAAGTACTAGACTTGAAGCCGGCGGCGTTGTGAGCCATGGGCAAGAGGAAAAGCGATGACTCCTCAGAGGCACGTTGAAGTTGAGCGGGCTGCTTGATGATGCTCTGGCTTTGAAATCATGGCCCGCTGTGATGAATATATGCCATGCCAGGATGACCCTTTGCCGGACAAGAAGGCCAAAAAAGAGAAAAAACACAAGGACATCCTGTCAGAGTATTGTGGTCAGCAAGAACCGTTTGTGTCGCAGCCCTGCCGACCTCCTTCAGGACAGCATAGAGAGCAAGCCGAAAAAAGACAAAAAAGACAAGAAGGATAAGCACAAAGGTGATGAGGATCTTTGACGAATTGCTAGGTATGGAGGGGGGAATGCGTTCTTCCTGTCCAATGCCGCTTTGCAAGACCTTTCTGACAGTGCTGCTTGTCCAGGACAAGTCGAAGAAACAAGTGCATGCCTGAGAATTTGCCGGGTCATTGTCAGCTATGGTTGCACAATCACCAAAGCATACCATTCACGAATTTTGGCGTCTGTGCGGCTTTTTGCCGGAAGCCCCAACTTGCAAGGAACATAAGAAAGCCGAGAAGGAAAAGGCTGCCGAAAAAGACCGCCATCAGCCATGTTGCCGCATCAAGATTCTGTGTGTAATACGATTCGGCTGGCGTTATCCTGGGAGCAAGACCAGAAGGACTCAAGCAGAAGCTCAACGTCATGGTTGTATGTTGGCCACAGGATAAGAAGTCCAAGGAAAAGACACATGAGAAAGAGAAAGATAAGCAGGAGAGCGGCGAGCAGAATCTTGGCGCAGGCGCATTTGCACTTGTTACCATTCCTTGGCAAGGATAAGAAGCACAAGCGAGATGCAGCGGAGGAGCTCAGACCGGCACAGCTCCTAGACCGTGTGCACGCCGGGCATGTCTGATCTGTGAAGTACAGCGGCGGCAGCAATAGTACATCACATACTACAAAATGATAGTCCTGGTGGTGATATTGGTGGTAGCATCAGTCAGCCCTAAACCCTATGGAGTAAACTCCAAGCCCCCCTTCAATTGAGGACCAGATTGTGTTGACAGCCATTGCCATACATATAATATATGTATATATATATATACAGTGTTTATACATGCGCATATATTGCACATGTAGGCAGTGAACTTACTTGGGGTTTGTTTGACCAACGGCTTTCCTTTTGAGCTCCTTTATCAATGAAGCTAAGCAGTCGTTCTAGCAGGGTGGTGGTGGTGGTGGTG